TTTAATATATTTTTTTGATTTTGATTTTTTTCTTTGCCCCCCTCCCTCCCTCCCTCTCAGTATGCCCTCCTTATTAAAACACACACCGGCCCGAGTGGGGTTTACTGTGCTCAAGTTTATTTTGCATTTGAAGATAACAAAATATTTGTAATCACATTTCAATTCAATGAATTCTTTGGTCTTGGGTCCTTTCTGTTGTGTTCCACTGATGGTTCATGTAACCAACTTTCTGAGTTTTCTAGTTTTTATTTGGGGCTTGGGGAGGATTTGGAGGAAATGAAGGTGTATGGATAGCAATCCTTGTTAAGTCCTGATAGGAGAACCAGGGCCACATTTTCTAGACATAGTACAGGTGGAATTGGCTTCAACTTATTTATAATCTGTTGCTGGTTTTAACAACTTCAAAGATTTTTGAAAGGAAATAGGAAAAAATTGGGCTAGAGAGTTGATGAAGTTTTTCTTAGGAGGCAATTGCAGTGAAACATTTAAAAATTGTCTGCCCCAGCCAGTTTGGCTCAGTGGATAGAGTGTCAGCCTGCAGACTGAAGGGTCCTGGGTTCAATTCCGGTCAAGGGCACATGCCTGGGTTGTGGGCTTGGTCCCCAGTGGGGGGCATGCAGGAGACAGCCAATCAGTGATTCTCTCTCCCTCTCACTTCCTCTCTGACATCAATAAGAATGTATTTTTAAAAATTGTCAATAGAATACTACTTGTGGAGAGCTGTGTCATTCAACTCTGGGTTCAAGTAAACTCAGAACAGCTTTAATTATGCCACATTATGAGTGAGAGGGGATACTGCTTTCTACTGCAATTAAAAAAATTCATTCTAATGTAGATGTTAGCAAGCATCTGGAATCTAGTGTTATAACTAACTCGATCACTTGCTCATACATTTGAGATACAAATAGTCTGGATTTGTTTCACATTATATCAACAGTATTGTTATGTCTGCATATTGATTTGGCCTGCTGGTTGGATAAAATTTCAGCAGAAGTGCCATATTCCAGCTAGTCTGCTTTAGTTGGAGTACTTGTATTTATTTGTATCCAGAGATGAGAATTCTTCGAGGGGAGAAGCTATTTGTTGAATATAGGGTATTCCTGATAATAGGTTATATCTTTAAAAGTACAGTTTATATTGTAATATTCCCAAATCCAATCTCATCTAGTAGAAACAAAGGGATGTGTTGGGGGTGGGATGAGCCAACTGTTTATACAGGTTTTCAATCGGCTTTTCTTTTAAAAAAAGTGCATGGAATGCATCCAAAACTAATAATGTTTTGTTAGATGAGAAGACCAAAAGGGAAATCCTAAAGAAAGGAGGATGGATGATCTTTCTTTAATGTCAGAACTGACATAAACACCGCCCCCCTTTGCTCAAGATAGTTTTCTCAACAAGACCCAGATTGCTTCAGTCTTTGCCTATCACCCTTTGAAGCACTTTCCTTATTAGTAGGAGTGGGGGCAGGGTTTCCTTTGAGGATTTTTACAGCATTGAAGAGTTCCTCCTTTAAATATTTTCACATGATGAGGGAATTCCGCTTTCAAAGTGCTGTCATCACGTGGCTTCTCCTCCAGGAGACACTTTATTCCTGCATGAAGGGCCTTCTTAGTTTGATTGTCAGTAAGGACTTACCTTTCTGACGGATTCCCGTTCTGTAGAGCTGTGCTTTCTTGAGAGCCAGCAGAGGAGCTCAGCATTCTCTGGCATTAACCTCATTGGTGAAGTTGACCAGGATTCTCTTTTGAAATGTGTTCGTTTCATCACGTGGGGTTATAGTTCTCAGCGTGGTTTCTCTTGTCAGTCTCCACTAATTAAGATTGGGGTGACAGGTTCAATATTCCATCTTGAAAACTACATTTCTAATATGGTGAAAAGGGACACTGAACTTGAAGGAGTTTTGAAATGTCCTATAATTTTTAAGATAATCTTAAAATAATTCAATGGTAAACAACAAATCAAGTGTCAACAGTTTTCCTGGAAACATTGAATTCTTTTGAGAACCTCTATTCTGTTCTTGAATATAGTCTTTTGGAAAATTCTTATAAATATTTTATTCATGGTTACAAAATGTACTAGTATAGCTGTATGGTGTAATAACTCATTGGAAAGCAGTTTACTTCCCTCCCCAAAATCTTTAGTCAGCAATGATTCACAGTTATTAGGAAAGAATCAGTATTAAGAAACCCCAAATAGAATGGGCAGTTTTCTAAACAGTATTGCCTCAGGGTGAACTTCTAAGTCTTTGTGATGGTTCTAGATAAATGAATCGAAGCTTATCTATGTCTCAAGCTCCATTGCATCATTTGCATCATTACTCTTGGACTTGCCCAGTGGTCGGCAAACCGCGGCTCATGAGCCACATGCGGCTCTTTGGCCCCTTGAGTGTGGTTCTTTCACAAAATACCACGTGCAGGTGCGCACGTACAGTGCCATTGAAACTTCGTGGCCCATGCTCAGAAGTCGGTTTTTGGCTCAAAAGAAATTTCAGTCGCTGTACTGTTGGTATTTGGCTCTGGTGACTAATGAGTTTGCTGACCACTGGACTTACCCTTTGAACAGTTTGGTCATTAGGAGATGAAAAAATCAGTTTTGTTTTGGGTGCATTCATTATCTGCATCTACCTTGAAGCTTCTAAGTGTAACAGTGTAATTTACTAACTAATCCAGACACAGCCTGAAACATATTTCTTAAAAATTGCCACCTCCTTCCTGCTAGAGTTTTCAAATTAATGAGCTCAGCCTTGAGCTGAGGAAGAAAGTGGAACCTAAGGAGAAAGCCCTACACTGAAGTCAGAATACCCATATTCTTTTGGCTCTGGCACTACTGCTGTGTAACATTGGCAAGTAACTTATCCTTCTGTTCTCCTTCTCCTTCCTCCCCCCCCAACCAAATACTGTAGGTGGGTGACCTAAATGATCTTCCTGTTTTTACCATTCTAAGTAAATAATAAGCTTATTTCACCTTCATAGAGAGGCTTCATTATAATGATTGAGCCAACTTGCATACTCCAGTGAGAAACTGGCATTGGTATTTCTTAATCTAGTTGGTCAATAAAGGAGTATGATTATATTCTCTCTATCCTGTGAATCTCTGTGAGGTAGCATAATTATTCATCCCATTTTTTGTTTTAGGCTCATTGGAAATGAAGTTAATAAACATTTCAGCTGTTGATGAGCCAGACTCTGCCTTCAGAGTGCTCACCACCAGGTCAGGGAGAAGGGCAGGCAAACACATCACAAATCCAGTGAGATGAGCAGAATAAGATGAGTTATGTATGATGCAGAGTAGCATGAGAGGGAAATATATATATTTCTTTATACCTATTTTTAGTTCTAGAAATAGAAAAATGTATTGGGAGGGGGCACGGTGTTGAGGCAGCTTTCTGGTAAACTAAAAACAAAACAAGCACTCCTAATTCTTTACCTGTTTTCTATTGAATCAGTTATGTCTCCTCATAATATTAGTTGTCATAGACTGCAATCAAATGAATTATGACATGGTAGGTTACAAAATACAGAATGTCCTCTTTCCTTTCATAAATAAATTTTTTTCAGTGTCCTCAGACATCACCATTAGATTCCTCTTTACTAGCTATTGGCACTTCTATCACTGAACAGAGAACAGCTAAATGTGTTAAGTAATCATTATAAACCAAATACTGTCACCTAGAATATATTCAGATTCTCCTCAGAATTTAGACAATAGGGAAAATTGAGTTTTCTAGAGGATGCTGGTGTGTCTTAGCATAATTAAATTTGGGGGAAAGTTATAACTAGAAGGGTAGGGTTTTCCTGGTGATTTGCAGCAATCTTGAACTCAAATCAAGGAACTGGAAAGTGTTCACAGTCTCGGGGTTGAATCCAGCACTGACTATGAAAGCTATATTGTTGTGTTGTGGGGGGTGGAGAGCTTGGGAGGGAGTTTCTCAAAACATTTTGCTCTGAGCTAATTTGTTTTGTTTGAAACTGGAAATAGTATTGTTGAAGTTTGCATTCTGTTTTCTTTCAATAAGTTTTTAAAAGGTTTCCTCCTTTCTGCAGGAATAAATTTGGCTTCTGAAAAAGAAAAAAAAATTACACCAGCAATTCAGCAATATTGCACCTCTTTCATCATTTTGGGGATGCAGGCTTCAGCTTAGTAACTCCCGACATATTTTCTGGAAACATGTAAAAACATGCCCATAAGTACTGAACATAAAACCTGACTTTACACTCATAAACATTTGTATATTCTTATGGTCCATAAGTACTGAACATAAAACCTGACTTTACACTCATAAACATTTGTACAATCTTATGGTCCATTTACCATTGAGTTTCTTAACGCTGTGTGCATATTTGAAAAGTCATTAGAATAAATGAAAATTGGAACAAGATGCTATTTGAGAGAAGGTGCTACACAGAAATGCTGAAGAACACTGCTCTATGACTTTCTCCTATGAAATGAGCAATGAGCAATGAGCAAGCCTCCTGCCCCCAGAATAGATAGAAGCAGAGCTTTCCAGGTATCCCCACCCCAGAAAATTCAGTATTTATTTTTTGTATTTTAATCATCCAAACTAAGTGATGAAAAAGCATATTTTCTAAGGAAGTGTGGAGAGTTGAAAAGTCAGCATCCAGACCCATTGGACTGTATGTTGGAAAATGGCACATGGTTAGGGTCATAGTGCTTCAGGGCCGTGCCCAGTGACCCTGAATGTAAAAGAGAGAAGGGAAAGTGGTGAGAGAGAGCTTTATGGATCTAGGGATGCTCTGGAAAACTACTAGATGGTCTAAGAATGTCTCGTGAAACGGAAAACCCCAATGCCACTGTAATCTGAGTGTGAGGAAAAGGTCATTCTTAAAAAAGAGTTGCACTCTTGCAAAATATGTTAGTCGTTAATTATTAACTTGTTTTTCTTTTCAAGTCGAAAAAAGATAAGCGTGATCTTGTATTCTGACCCAAGGCTTTGTTTCTCTCCTCTCTCCGGTTTGGGTCTTGTGCCGGCTCTGCCCCAGGTTGGCCTTCATTCCACGACGTGATCAGTTCTGAGGCCATCACACTCACTGACGACTTTTCCCACGGGATGCACAGGGTGGAGACAAGCTGCTCTCAGGTCAGTTCCCTCCCTCCCTCCCCTGAAACCCAGGGCTCATGCTGCATTGCACACATTTCCAGGATTCCTGGTTTTGCTAAATACAGCAACAGAGCCAAGTGAATGACTGATCCCAAAAGGAGCAGGCGACCACAATGAAGTCTCCATGAATTCTAAGGGTACCTGCCTTCATGTGTTTAGCAAGTCTAATTACATGCCAGTCATTGGCTTCAACATGATTAGACAAAATCATTGGTAGAAAAAAATTGTCAGTTGACTCAAGAGAGTAGAAAATAGGCTATTCGCAGGACCTAGGAAGACTTCATTCCGTGGCCTTATGTCAACTGATGTTTACGTAGGTCCTCCTCCCCCTGGGGCTGGTGCTGCGCACTCATTGTTCCGTCATCTTCCTCCAATGGTAATGATCCAAACACAGTGAATAGAGACCCCATAGACAGCTTTCTTTGGGTGGGTGTGAGGAGGGAGGGTGGAGACTGGCTGTAGGAAGAGGAAATTCAATGGTGGGCTGTATGAGTGCAGGGTGGGAACACGGGATATGGTCATTTCTTCCTTATTTCTCCAAGAATATAGACTGGTCCTCCTATCCATGGATGTGCTAATTCGTTCCTTTTACTCTGCTCTTACCACATTTAACTCTGCTGGCTCTACGAGAGAAAATGAGGAGGCAAAAATAGTTAACCTGTCATCTCAGTCAAAAGACTTGAATATATGGGTATCTGACCCTTAAACTTAGAGGTGTAGCTAGAACCTTCTTGCACATAAAATGAGAGCAACCACACATTCTATTCTGTAGTAGGGAGTCCTGTTCTTATCTGCTTGAAGTAAAATGGAAAGTCTGAGTATTGTGGCACTGAAATTCATTGATACTACCAAATATTTTTTGGGGGGACGTCTGCTGCATATATTAAAGGTAAAGGGGGCACAATCAGGCAGCTGTAATAGCAAAGTGATTGCCACATGAGCCTCCCTCAAAATTCTTCTACCTGCCCTTTAACCCTCTCCACCAGGCAAAGAGTTTTAGGGAGTAGGTGGCATATTTACTACCAAGTGGGGAGGGAGTTTGGTTTGACCCTAATCATCTGATGAATTTCTGTTTTCATTTTTTTTAATAAGGTTGGCAAGTTTACTGTCTTCAAGCATGAGAGCTACTCTCTCCTTTGAAAAGCAGATTTCTTATTTTCCAGTCACATTTTCAGTTCACTCTTGTTTCTCAAGTATGAGTCTCTAAGCAAGAAAGTGGGGCTTTGTGAAGCTGGTCTCACCTCCTGAGATGCTAATTTAATTGGTTGGGGGGAGGCCTGAAGATCAGCATTTTTAAAGCCCCTCTGGTTAAACTCACAATAATATTATTAGGTACATATTTTCATTTTCCTCATTTTACAGATGAGGAGATGGAGGCATAGGAGAACAATTACACTTGTGTAAATTACATAGATTTAAGAGGCAGAACTGAGATTGAATTTGGCCAGTTAGCTACAGAGCTCTTTATGGTGCTTAAATTGATAGAGATAGCTACCCTGTTTCCCTGAAAATAAGACAGTGTCTTATATTAATTTTTGCTCCCAAAGATGCGCTAGGTCTTATTTTCAGGGGATGTCTTATTTTTCCATGAAGAAGAATATGGTACACATTTATTATTAAGTGAAAATAAAGGAAATTTATTACCTGTATACGGTAGTACGGTAGTTGTCAACACAAACCAGACAAACTGTGAATCCTACAGTATCAAGAATTTACTCATTTATTCAATGACAATCATGTCATCATCTTCTGGAACATCATCATAACAATCCAATTCCTGAATTTCCTGGTGAATTTCTTGTGACTCCATTTCTTTCAGAATCAGTGGACCAAATCTTTCATGTTTAGCAATAGCATTTGAGACAGAGCCTAGAGGGGCCTTATTTTCGGGGGGATGTCTTATATTTCACTCAGAAGGAAACCTGTAAGTAGGTCTTATTTTTGGAGGATGTCTTATTTTCGGGGAAACACGGTAGCTAATTTCCCCGAAAATAAGACATCCTCCGAAAATAAGACCTAGCATGGAAAGATAAGACATCCCCTGAAAATAAGACCTAGCACAACTTTGGGAGAAAAATTAATATAAGACACTGTCTTATTTTTGGGGAAACAGGGTAGATAGGTGATAAATAGATAGATGCACCATAAACAGTCACATTGAAATAAAAAGAAATCCTATGATTCCCCAGCAGTTAGGTTAATTCAGTTCAGTTTTGAAGCCAACTGAATTTTATTTATTTATTTATTTATTTATTTATTTATTTATTTATTTAAATCTTTATTGTTCATATTGTTACAAATGTTCCTCATTTTTTCCCCCCTCCATTGCTCCCCTCCACCAGGTTCCCACCCTACCCTCTGTCCTTTCCCCACCCCCCATTGTCCTCATCCACAGGTGCACAGTTTTTGTCTCTTCCTGCAGCCCCACTCCCCTTTCCCCCAAGAATCATCAGTCCACTCCCCTTCCATACCTCTGATTCTATTACATTCAACAGTTAATATTGTTCATCAGGTTTTTTAATTCCCTTGGTTTTTAGATTCACTTGTTGATAGTTAAGTATTTGTTCATAATTTTTATCTTTATTTTCTTTCTCTTCCTAAAGAACCCCTTCAGCAATTCATATAATCCTGGTTTGGCGGTGATGAACTCCTTTAGCTATTTTTTATTTATGAAGCTCTTTATCTGGCCTTCGATTCTGAGTGATAGCTTTGCTGGGTAGAGTATTTTTGGCTGTAGGTTCTCGTTATTCATCACCTTGAATATTTCTTGCTATTCCTGTCTGGCCTGCATGGTTTCTGTTGAGAAATCAGCTGACAATCGTATGGGTGCTCCTTTATAGGTAACTACCTGCTTTGCTCTTGCTGCTTTTAATATTCTCTGTCTTTTGCTCTTGGAATTTTAATTATGATGTGTCTTGGTGTAGTCCTTTTTGGATTCCTTTTGTTTGGGGTTCTATGCGCTTCCTGCACTTATAAGTATATTTCTTTCACCAGGTGGGGGAAGTTTTCTGTCACTATTTCTTTCAATATTCTTTCAGTATTTGCTCTCTGTCATCTTCTGGAACCCCCATAATTCTGATGTTGGTTCGCTTGAAGTTGTCCCAGAGGTTTCTTACACTATCTTCAACTTTCTGGATTCTCTTGTCTCTTTGCTTCTGTGGAGGAGTGTCCTATGGCTCTTTGTGTTCCAAATCTTTGACTTAATTCTTGTGATCTTCCATTCTATTTTTAGGACTCTGTATAATATTTTTTTTTATTTCAGACAATGTATTCTTTATTTCTAGTTGTTCCCTTTTCATATCCTCATAGGTCTCATTTATTTTATCAGCCTTTTCTAGGAAATTCTTGAAAAATCTTATAAGCGTGGTTTTGAACTCTATATCCAGTCGCTTGTCCTCCATTTCTTTCATTTGTGATCTGTTTCCTTGTCTCGGAATTTTCGCTGCTTCCCTGAGTTGGTAGGGTGGCTTTCTGTGCTAAGGTGTCCTATATGGTTCAGTGGGTCAGCCTCCCAGTTATCTGATGTAAACACTCTTGGTGCACCCTTTTGTGGACTGTGTGTACAGCCTTTTGTAGTTAAGTCTTTATTGTTGTTGGTATCACTGGGAGGAACTGACCTCCAGGCCAATTGGGTGTGAGGATCAGCTGTGTCTATGCCGGGAGACAGCCTTATTCGACTAGACTTGGAAAATTGCAAAAGCCTTTGTGCTCAGCTTGGATGGGGCAGAGTTTCAGGGTGGAGCCTACAGCCTTGGATTTCCGTCAGCCCCGCCCTATGAGGTTCCTGAGTCTCAGTGTTCCTCAGTGTCCTTCAGTACTTGCTGCAAGCACCTCTGAGAGAAAGGTGCCCTCAAGTTTCGCCCGCTACCGACAGTCTAGTCTCTCCCCCAATGAGCCCGGAACTGGGGTTCAGTGCAGTTGGAAGTGGGGTTAAGAGCAGTCTGGAGCTTATGGCTCCTTCCCGCTAGGGCAATCCAGTGGCACAGTCAACAGTCCATTCTCTGCGCGCAACGTGTGTGCCTCTGGGGCTCTGCCTTTCGCCACTCTCCTGAGTTTCTGCCTTACAGCCTAGATTCCTCCGTATGAGCCTGTGTCCCCAGGGTCTGGCCTAGAACTGGGGTTCAGGGCAGTCGGAACTGGGACTTAGCACAGTCTGGAGCTTTTGTCTCTTTCCCACTAGGGAATGCCAGCCAGGAACTCAGCCGCCCCTCCTCTCCGGCTCCGTCCTCGCCCCACGCGTGCACTGTATCTCTGTACCTTAGGCTTTTACAGCTTCTCTGATTTTCTTTCTGGTTTTCTCTTTCCTTCTAGTTGTAGAATTTCCAGTCAGTTAACTTTCCTGTAATTCTGGATAATGTCCACTTTATATTTTAATTGTATTTTTTGAAATTGTTGTGTGAGGCTGCAGTTAGGCATTTACCTATGCTGCCATCTTGGTTTCTCTCTAGCCAACTGAATTTTAATTGATATTTTTATAACTGCCACAAAAACAAATTATGACTATCTACCCAGGAATCTAAAATATTGGACAAAAATAGTAACTTGACAGGATGGTACATAGTAATTTATATCTTAGGCACATACATAATACTTAGTAAGCCTCTTAGTAAAGCTAATAGTTTTTCTTTTTTTTTTCTTTTTTTAAATCTTTATTGTTGAAAGTAGGTTAATAGTCCGTCGTTCCTTCCTTCCATCCTTCCTTCCTTCCTTCCTTCCTTCCACCTTAAAGGCTGTTAAATGACTGTTATTCTTCTTTTCACTTAGAACACACTTTCAAACATTGAGTCACATGAAAACTGAATAAAAAAGGTACAGAAAAAAGTGAGGCATAAAATAACTTTCCTGAAGGCCCTATTCTCTGATGGTTTTGTGACTAATTTTTAAAATTCATAGTTGGAATAAACTTCTTTCTCTGTGCCAGCCACAGAGGTAGCGCCATTTATATTATAAAAGGCCAGTGGCCGTAACACTGTAACGCC